GGAGATACCGGTAGCGTTTAGAAGAGTAGTTGAATGATGTTAGATTGTCCAGTATCGGGTACACATTAGACCAGAGTCTCGGAATTACCTATCAATCCATGCCTAGTACTTTATACTCTGGGTCTAGTGGATATGCATAATGGAGCTACTACCGCCTCTAGGCTACCCGATAGTGCTCCATTCCAATGCTACACTACTTCCACTATTGACAGTTTGACTTACTTACGCGGGCATAGCGGATATACTCATTCCAATTCGGATTTCAGTACCTGCAGAGAACCGAAGGATAACATTCCTCCAGTTGAATAACGACGGTGCGTGGTGATACCGTTGAGTACGGATTATCACGACCTTCTCTTGGGTGTTCCTTGATGGGCTTACTCTCTGGTATTATTGCTTGGCTGCTTGGCCATACAAAGCATATCGGCGACCTTGGCTCCATATTGACACCCACTCTAGAAATTGAGCTGCATCTGCAGTCAGTGTGACTACTAGAGCATCATGGCCGGTTTAGGATTCTAATTAAGCTTTCTACAAAGCCTGCTTGAAGTATCTCCAAGAATTGATCGACAAATTCTTCCTTGGTTTTCTCAATGGAACCCAGAAGAATGATTAAATTGACTTTAGGGATGGAGACTATTTCCGTTCCCTGTCAATTCCCGTCGCTTGGTCTTCCTGTCTGTCACTTGACCAGAGAAGAATTAGACAACAACAATGCCAATTTTACAATTGATCAGGACTACAATCCGGTTTATGGTAGCGCCTCAGCATTCTACATGCAAGGGACGGGTAGGTAAAGAGGGAAATGTCTATGTCCCCGGATTTCTTAATGTCTGGCATGCAGGGGTGGGATATGACAACAACCAATCCACTCTCGCGGTACAATAGCTGCTTGACTAAGTAATGGCCACCCTGACATCCAAAGGAAGAAGCCCAAGAATTCGGATACTACCTCCATCGTCACTTAGTAGTCGTCTTCTCATAATTGAGGCTAATGTAACCAGCGCTGGAATTCCTGAATGGTCATCCATACACCTATTAACATACAACAACAACAAACCAGGAAATGCAAGTATATAGACTAGCCACGACCACAGGGTCCCCAATCCCTGCATAAACTCATCTACATACTATATTGATAACCTTATTTACTATTATCTACTATCGCAATGCGTCTAACTTCCCTCCTCCCTCTCATTCCCGCCGTTGCAGCTAGCTGCTACCACAACACCCCTCTTGCTCGACGTGCATCCGTCCCCAGCTATGGCTACACTGCTACGCAAGGCCCACTGAACTGGTACGGCCTTGACCCAAGCGCCAACGTTGCTTGCGCAACAGGGACACACCAGTCGCCTATCGTGATCGGCAGCTCTGAGATTTCAAAGGTCAACAATAGCACCGTCACTCTCTATATCCCTACGGTCTCTGACCTCGAATTCGAGAACCTCGGCACCACCATCGAAGTGCCTTTGACAAATGGCACCCTCGTTGTAGGCAACAATACCTACACCCTGGCGCAGTTTCATTTCCATACGCCTTCTGAGCACCGGATTGATGAGGAGTATTTCCCCATGGAAGCCCACTTTGTGTTTTCGGATGAAGGTATGAGATTGACCCCCTTCTGTGCTTACTTCCCTTCATGCTAACTAAGAATCCCAAACACAGATGGAAGCATCGCTGTGGTGGGCTTTGTCATAGATCTGACCTCCACCAAGGACCATAGCACACCCCTGCTAAATACCATCTTCGCAGACGTCAATGAAATCGCCGAGCCGGGAAGCACCACCGAGCTTGGACTGCTGGATTTCAGTAGTGTCTCGAGACATTTCTTGAACAACGATATTTACACATACTCTGGGTCCCTGACTACGCCGCCTTGCACTGAGGGCGTGTCGTGGTATGTCAGTGGATTGCCGTTGGTGTTGGACGTGGACACGTATAATCAGGTGAAGAAGGTGTTGAGGTTCAATTCGCGCTACACGCAGAACGTGTTGGGACAGGAAGATTTGTTGCAGCTTGCGGCGGATGAACTGAATGGGGTTGTTGTTTAAGCTGTTACAGGGAAATAACTAGGTTAGGGTTTAGGTTGGCGTCGAATGCGGGACTCGGGGATGTCAATGCTAGGGCGTGGGAGATTGAGTCTAATTTAAACACGACCACAAGGATGACATCAATCTTATATTAGCTAAGTCTATGAGGCTACTGAAGGGTGCGTCTGACACTCGCTCAATGTTCATCCCGCTGTCAGCTGATACGATGATTTTCTGCGCCCCTCACCGTAGAATTTACTAGTGCTGACGTCGTCCCGTAATTCGTGCCGGCGATGCCCGACTTACCTACCAAGAAAGCAATTACCAGCGGGACGTGACCAAACAGTGGAGTCATAGAAATCCCTCAGAGACAAAGAGTATCTATCCACATATCTACTTCTTGGGCTGACGACATACTGCGTATCTATGTCAGCAGAAAATGAATATAAATAACCCAACTCTACCCAGCAACAAGACACTCACTTTTATTCAGTAATCTACTACTACACCTACATCCAACATAACACATCAAAATGAGCGCAAACCGCGGTGCCAAAATCGTCCTTGATTGGTACATCTCTTCCCACCTCTAATACCCTACTTCAACTAACAGAACAACAGGCTCGAGCGGTCCCGCGCCCAACGCATCGCTTGGGTAATGGAGGAGCTGAATCTCGAATACTCTATCCAACCCTTCAAGCGCAATCCGACAGGCACTGCGCCCGCAGAATTGAAAAAAATACACCCTCTTGGCAAATCGCCCACAGTATCCATCCAGCCGCCCTCCCCGACCTCCAAACCTATCATCCTGGCCGAGACGAGCCCGATTATGAGCTACTTAGTTGAGCATTTTGCCGACGAAGCCACAACTGCCAAGCTCATTCCTAGGAAATATGAGCCCGGAAAGGAAAAAGAGCTAGGCGGCGAAACAGAGGCATGGATGAGACATGAATTTTATGACAGCTATGTGGAGGGGAGCTTGATGAGTGTTTTGCAGATAAGATTGGTTTTTGATGGTGAGCTTTTCCCCAACCTCTTAGGTTACCCAATACCAAAGGTATAGTGATGAGATATAGCGCTTCAAAACGCACCTATTCCATTCTTTCTGAAGCCCATCCCGAACTTCATCGCATCGAAAGTCAATTCTGAGTTCCTAGACAACGAATTCAAAACTCATTTCGGATTCCTGGAAGAGCAGCTTGCTACGGCGCCTGATGGGGGGCCGTACATGTGTGGAAAGGATCTCACGCTTGCGGATATTCAGTTGAGTGTGCCGGTGTCTGTGGGGTTTGCGTTGGGAATTATATCGAGGAGCGAGTATCCGCTTTTGCATGGGTATGTGGAGAGGTTGAAGCGGGAACAGGGATACAAGAGGGTGGTGGAGAGGGCGAGTGAAGTTGGGGAAGGAGCTATGTTGGAGTGATTTGAGAGATCATGATGTTCAGGGCTTGTTGATTGTATGTTGCCTTTATGATGACGCTGCGGAGTTCTATGTGGGTGGATTTAAATGAGATGTACTATTTGAAGGATATATCTTCTCCTCTTCTTTTCAGCTTATACATCGAGTATCTATATTGGCAAGAGCTTATCGAGTACTCCGTAGTAAACAGCATGTACAAGTTTAAGTCGTACAGAGCAAAGGATCGTCAGGCGAAAGCCGGTCCGCCTTATGGGACCTTTGAGTTCTATGAAGGGGATGCCAGCTAGTGTAGTCACACTCAGGCCAGCTAATTCTAACTTTGAGGTTTCCATAGTCAGCAATCTTAGGTTAACGCAATGGTCCATTTAGTTCATCTACAAATAGGAGCCCTAGCTGCAACTTTCTATTCTATTGGTTTATGACCAGAAAGATTTTCTTCCATTTTTTCTTAGCTTCAGGCAGTAAATTTCGCTCTTCATCCTATTCCCGCCACTTCTTATCTCAACCCAAGGATGTAGCAGATCACACCCGTCGAGCCAGTCCAGTAGACACAACGGGTATGAGTTTTCTGCGTACGTGGCTTCGTGATGTTCCGTATCGTTTGAGCTAAGTGCTGCTTTTACACATCGTGCTATCATGTGCGTATGGCTGCTCATGTTGACTTACTAGCATCAAATTCTGAAATATAACAAGCCACGTGATGGGAATGTGATGGAAATAATCTTTCTGTGTATTGCCTTAACCGATGAGCAATGATGGCTGAACACGACTACTAGAGAAAAACCGCCTCCAAACTGAGACAGCTCTCCGGTATTTGGCAACTAGGCGAAGTCTGATTGGGGCGGTGTAGGCTTTCTTATTCACGATTCTTCAGTCAAAATCAAATGATAATATATAACTAGTGAAGCAACCTCTATCCCGTCTGGGGCGCTCAATTGGTAGAAGATCAATATGGTGGTAAGCGATCACACACGATGTCGTGCAACGGATCTGCTGCAGGGCTTAGCAGCAAGGGCGGCTCCCAAGAAGCCTAATGTGAGACACGGGACACAGTATAAGGTGCACCCCATTCTGCTTGGAGGGTCTAACTTTCCTCAAGTATAGCTGTTTCATCAGTTGCAATATTCATCGCCAGATCTCGTATTTCTCCGAGGGCGCAGTATCAGCTCTAAGTTGTCTGCTATGTAGACTGAGGCTTAACCTGGAGAACCGAAGGCTACCTAACGAGTGGTGTACAAACATGTTACCCCGGGATTCCTGCATAGCGAAGAAGTATCAGGCTACCCCAGATTCGCTAAAGGCATCCTGCTCAACAGGGTTACATGAGGCATAACAGCTGCAGCTTCTTAACCGAGGGCGCCTGTCACAATGTCTTGCCCATAATGTCATAGTCGATCTAATTTGGCCATTTCGTGTTGCACCGGGCAGGCTCCTTGTCTGCTGTGTAACCATAGCAGCAGTATAGTACCACCTGACACCGCTCCAGCATCGAATACTATCCAGCTTCGGAATAACTTCAGGCGTCCAGTACATACCTAGCTATCCTAAATGGTCAAGTCGTGAAGGCTGCCTCTCGTTTTACTTTTAGAAGGTTGAATTCAGACAGATCACATTGTCTATTGAAGCAACTCGGCCTTGGCCTCGTATTGTCAATGCCTCTTTGGGCTATACGAGGTCGCAGCCGCTCCAAAATGCCGCTGTTAGCTATTTATGACCATTCCATGAGTGATCAAATGGCTCACCGAGTGGACTACAGCATGAATGAGGTTGCAGAACCAGAGATATAAATACAGACATTTCCCGGACGCAGCCTCTGCTTCGAAACCACATCCAAAGAGCGATCTCCTTGTCTCATTCGGTTATCTTCTTGCCTCAAGACTGTCTTGCAATCGGAATTACATACCCATTTTCAAAATGAAGTTTCTCAGTTACATCACTGCAATCACCATCCTCGCCTCCGTGGCATCCACCTCCCCCACCCCCGCCAACCTCATTCCCCGGGCCTGCACCACCATCGCTCCAACAGCCATCGACGTCCTCGACAGCGCAAACCCCAACACCCCAAGCATCGGACAACAGTTCTCCCTCGCCAGAACAGCGACTGCAAACACCAAAATATCCGCACTCACCTTCGCGGGCATCCCCGACGATGCTACAGGTTGTATGCTCGCCATCGACATCCCGGCCCTGGCGCAGCCCATTGCGACGGGCTCCAGCCAAGCTGACATCTGGACTACCAATCCCTGGGACTTGACCTCCCCTCCTACCTGGAACAACCAGCCTACTCGGCGGGAGATGGTGTCGACATTCCAGTTCCCAACTTCGCCAACGACATCCCCGTTCCATACGATCCTTGCGTCGAATACGTGCTCTAACGAAATGAGTTTCCTGGCATTGCAGTCAACGTGGCAGACTTCACCTGGGAGTGTGAACTTCCAGAACTCTATTGGCGGGAGTCAGCCGATTGGATTTAGCTTGGTGTATAATTGTTAGTGGGAATTAGGGGATTCATGTAGGGAGGAAGAGGTGATGGCGTCGTAGACTGACAATAAGATTACAAAATGTGGGGTGAGGAGGAAACCAACCGGCGGAGAAAAACATAGGGGACGACACTATTCAACATAGCGTCAACAAATAGAATAATCGTTTCCTGCACATGTACCTAAATATAGCCTTGTTGTTTCACTCCTACCGTGGACTAGCCCTACGAATGTGACATGTGCCAGATGCACCCGCCAAATAAACTTCTCTTCCTCGTTCATCCCACTCATCCACATCCTATGGTTATCGTTCGCCAAGGCCAGCCTTTCCCCCTCGCGTCCATGAACACGATGCGGTTACATCCGATTGAGCTAAACTATCATATGTACTGGATCTAGCTTCCTCATTTAGATCTAGCTCGGGTGAGAGCGGAGAATCAATGCACCTTATTTCCTCGCACTTGGTCGTAACTCCACCAGCTGACTGGCGTAGCCTAACATTGACATGGAAATGTGAATCGAATTTCATCTTGCTTGGGTCTCAATTTCGCCCTATTCTATCAAATGAATGATGAGGACGTTGAGACGGTTATGGTATGACATACGGGGATACACATTAAGCTCCTTACAAGGAATCGTACCTTCTGCCCTGCGAGACGATGTAATGTGTGCTCAACACAACAAGAATAACATGTATGAAGTATATTTCAATCACTTAGCACTGCTGCCACCTACTAAAAAGTATACCAAGAAGGATCGTACCCAGCCCCGGCCCCAAGCATCCACATAGCTGCTAAGCCTTATCCTCCACATGCTCAGCCCTTGCATCCTCCTTCTCATCTCCTACCCTATTCGCAAAAACATGCGTCCTCCACCTCCGCGCCGGAACCTTCTCCGTAAAAAACATAGCGACCTCCAACCTTGTCCGCCCCTGCGTCTCACCCACACAGAACCACACCCAAATCAGCGACGTCAACGTAGTACCCGCATACACAAACCCGACCATCGGACCAAGCCCGGCATCATAATACAGATACGGCGCCGTGAAGGAGATCACCCAGAGGAAGAAATATAGCGCCACTATCGAGACCGACATGATTTTGTTCTGGTTCACGCCGACCGAGAGCTCGCGGGATACGGCGTAAGTAAGTGGGCCGAGGCCGAAGTTATATGCGCAGATGACGACGTAGGAGAAGACGACGATAATGTATTTGGATGCGGTGGTGAGGGTGGATTGGGTGCCTATGCCGCCGATGATGACGAAGGCGATGAGGATGAGTGTGGTGCTGGCGAGGAGGTTGGTGCGTCGGCGGAGACGGTTTCCGGTTAGGATAGATGCGGCGACGGCGAAGATTTGTAGAATCATCGTGATGAGGGTGATGGTGAAGGGTTGCGAGACGCCGAGGGCTTCGGCGAACACCACCCCGTAGTTGTAGAAGAAGATTATGCCGCAGATTTGTTGCGCGTACATGCCGCCCGAGGCCCAAATTAGCTTCTTGCGTTCGATGGGGTCAAGGAGGAGGGCGAGCCAAGAGGATTCTTCGCCTTGGGCTTCTTCGTAGCGTCGGGCTTGCGTGAGGAAGGCTAGGTCGGCTGTGGGGTCGTAGGTGCGGTCGTTGCGGTTGATCTTGAGGAGAGCGCGTTTGGCGTCTTCTTCTCTGTTGTGAAAGACGTACCACGTTGGGGTTTCGGGGATGAAGGGTAAGAAGAAGAGCATGAAAAGAGGCAGTATGATAAGCCCGCCCATTGGTAGTTTGTAGGATAGAGAAGAGTGGATGGAATTGGTGCCTTGGGTGAGGCCGGAGGCGACTAGCTGCGAGCAGGATTGCAGGAACTGGTACATGTACAACGCTGGACTTCGGATCTCCATTGGGGCGACTTCTCCGATGCTATGGATGGTCAATGAATTGTGACATTTGTTTAGAACCGACAAGATAGTACTCACTAGAGCAGCGATGTAACAGTAAAGTTGCCCACTCCAAGCCCGATGAGAATGCGGCCAAGTACAATAATACCCTCAATGTGGGTGTCTGCAACCTGGGTCACCCCTCCAGCGAGCACAAAAGCCGAAGCAATCCAGAGGACCGTTTTCCGACCAAAGCGATCATTGAGAGGCCCTGCAATTAGTGCACCGAGCATATCCCCGATGTAGATGCTGGAGGTCGTCAGCGACGTAAAGCTCGTCGCTAATGCTTTCGCACCATCCTCATAGTGATCGCCGTAGTCATTTTTGAACTCTTGCATGCCTAGAATCCCGCTGTAGTATGTGTTGTCATAGCCAAACACCAGGGCGCCGATGGCGGAGATGGAACAGTAGATCAAAGCCCACCGGTGGCGGCGAAATTCGATGTCGAAGCCGAACATTATGAGGAATTGGCATTATTCCTTGACACAGGTGATAGCCTGAAAGAAACGACAGTGAGGCGATGTGAGGGTATAAATATGCTGAGCCGAGGTTGTGCCCATAGCCCAGCATTCCCCGGGTATGAAGTCAGACGAAGGCGCATAAGAGAAGACAGCCAACGGAATACCGCCCCCACGCCGATCTGAACGGAATAGAGCGAACGATTGGCTCGCTTGGCTCCGATCTCTCCTCCCCAGATAATGCCCCCACGGATGTGCCTTGATTTGCGGGGGAAATGCGGGGGAAGACAGACTAGGGCTGCGCTTGTCTGTGCTCAATCGGACAGAGTGGCCTGACACTCAGTATCCCAGGCGGAGTTTATTCCTAAACTAGGTCGATGACGTGCCGCGATTTTACAAGAGACAAGGCAGTCTTAGCGCACCCTAGAGAGCGGCTATGCATGGCGACGTGAATGGATAGTGCATTTCCCGCCGCTTGGGATCCATTAATTGCCCCGACCAATCGCAGTTAGAGAGCTGCAAGGAGCGACGAAGAGTCACCCGTCTGTGACCTTCCACCGGCGTCCAGCGGAAGATTTCTGTTCCGGGGAAACAAAAGGTACGGAGTTCCTTCGCTCGAGCAGTTTAAACATGCGGGATGAAACTCGTCCACTCAACGGTCACATAGGAACTCGATGGGAGCTGTCGCAGGCTGATAAAAGCCTCGATGATGATAAACAAGCGGGCCGGGACCAGACAGGCACTGATAAAAGACATGACAACGTCCAGCACCCAAGCACGCCATCCTTTCTCTTCCTTGCCGCTAGGCTGGACCCATATCCATGTCAGGGACTGGTGACCGTCAAAGCCCAACGCGGTCAGAGTTATCCGCAGCATGCTCGACAGCGGAAGACCAGAAGCCAGGAAGACACTCATGATGCGCCACATCAACTGTTCAGTGCTCGTCGGAAATACATGGTTCCAGCCCAGCAAGTGAACAGCGGGATGTACCATAGCCTGGATCGATACCAGTAGCCAGGTGCGTTGGCTCAGGCCATTGAACACAATCTTGTCATCCGGCATGCGCTGTAAGGGGCTTTTCTGCGGGCGGAGATTCTCGAGGGTCGGTCGGCGATGCCACCGCTGGTGTGGCTTTTCCAGGAAATCAAGTGGTGTCTCGCGGAAGGGCTCAACACCGATCTCCCCGGCACTGTTGATCAAGCTGGTGACTGACCCGCTCTTGAGTTCGATAACAGTCGGCACCCCAACGCTCTGTGGCTTATGCATCCAGAAGTAGTAGGTCGTAATCGTGGATAACACGAACGCAATGGTGAAGAGCTCAAGCGGGGAGACAGCGAGGCCTTGTACGGCCCGGGCGATGGATTGGACCACGAGCCATACTCCTTGTACCAATGCTACGCACTTAGCGAAAGTATCTGCCTTGCTTTTATCCCAGATCTCCTCCGCTGTGATTGTAGGGCAGTCGATGTGGTGAGTTTCGACGAGGTAGTGGATCGAGGCTGCAGTGATTGGGAAGGGAGGGTAGTCGGTCGATTGAAGGACGAAGCCTCCGCTATTGGCGTAGAAAGCGTGTTTGAGTGTCCATTCTTTGTAGCCCAGGCGGTGCATGGCGCGCACCGATTCTTGGGCTGACTCGTACTGCATGGCGGAGAAGCCTACCAGCATGTCGGGGGCCAGAATAGCAAATGTTCCCCAGCGGAGCTTGCGCCACAGGACCGTCCAAAGTCCATCGTCGGGGGCCGGAATGTTCAGATGCAGAACTGTCCAGAGAGCGGTGGAGAGCACCAAACAACAGCCCCAGATGATATCGATGGTACCCCGATCATTGGGAGAGTCTACCCAGCCACTCACTTCTCCCTCAGGCAACGGAGCCATGGTTAGTGCACCAGTATGTTTGGGATCCCACGTCCTATATGAATGAAGAAGTCGACGCCAAATCGGGTTGATCGAGATGGAAGAACAAAACGAACACCTCCCACTAAAAGGTGTTTGCGCGGATCTTTGTGGTTAATGAACCCCTCCGCATGCTGGGCCATTACGGATGTTTTGTTGGCCAATGATGCATTAGTGCAGACGCAGGGGATACATACTCCGACCAGCGAGTCAAATGAGAACGAGAAACAAGAGATAGCCTGCAGAGTACGATGGCGTCTCTCGCCAAGGGCCCGGAGCGTACAAGTGCGATAACAGGATATTACGATTGGCATGCTGCATGAGCTGTCAGGCCTAGACGCAGGGTCTTGATTCAGCAAAGACCATCCACAAACTGAGAATCATCTCCGCGTGGGGGCCAAAAGTACAATCAGGATTGGGAAACCATCATGTCCGTGATGGCCTGATGCACTTCTGATTCGAGCAAAAGTGTTGCGACCGGCGCATAATCTGAGACAAAGACAACATCCTCATCACAAGGGATGTCTATAGTAAGCCCTCAGCAGGAACTGTGATGCTTGGGGGCCGAGGAGCAATAGGCTTCGTCAACTGCAGTGGAACAAGGAGGGCAGGGTGGCTCTGGATCAATTAACTTGCACTTTAGCGGCTTGAGGGCCCGTCGGCGATAGGCCGCGAGGGGCCGCTGTGGGGGAAGTCGAGGGCACCGGTGCTGACAGACGCTGACGGCTGAAGGACGAGAGCAAGCGAGCGTGACGCGAAGGAATTTCTGGTGGAGATGGGCGGGTCTTAAGCTAACGGGAAGCAGTTGTCCATCCGCAGGTTTATCCCTGAACAGCAGCGATTGGCGTCGCTTATCCTTTCAAGGAAACCCATTGCTGTCCTCGGTGTTCCTCCAGGGCCCAATCAATGCGGTCATAAGCGACCTGGTCAATCTCTGCATACTCCGTAGTATCGGCAATTTGGGGGCCAAAAGTTACCCCTGCGCCAGCGGGGATGCGAGTCGAAGAGGAGAATATTCAGCGACGCCTTAATGTGCATCTCAGGCCTCGTGGTCGGCCACGCGGACTCCTAGTCGACAATGCATGCTGACAGTGGGTCAAGCTTGTACACAGAACACTCCCACATGCATTATCTACTCAGTGTCTCATCACTTGTGCCAAGCCCAAGCCTCTCAAGAGCATGAAGTTGCTCAATATCGGGACTCAGGCCAGCCTGTGGTGTAACGAGGATAAGCCAAGTATTAGTCAAATATTGGCCGGTCGCACATAACCTCGGAAACCACAAGGCTCAGGGGCATCGCACGTTTCCACAATTTTGAGTCACGGACTTTGGGTCGATGATCTACCTCCCATCGATTCGCTGTGGGCATGCTGATCGGAGCAGTCGAGAAGATACGACTACCCTTGCGCACCAGGTGTGACACAGGCACTGAGGGTTGCCCGCCGCTCCTACAGTGCTTATTTTTATCTCAAGTCTGATACATCTCACAGAGAGCAAATGTCTCTTGTACCGTTGCAAGAGTAATCGAACCATAATCTGTTCTATCAGACGTCTCAATGTCGCTGTAGTTACTCTCGAACGAGCAGGCCATCTTGCCCAGAGACGACATGATTATTGCCCGATGTCTAACGCATCGAGTCTACACACCTGTTCCACCAGGGTACCACCCTACCTAACACAGTACACCGTAATGTAGCGTGCAAAGCCAATCGATAGCACAGGCGATGATCATCGAGGTGCATAAGGCACCATCAGATATCACTCTGACGTTTCAACCACAATATCGGACAATCAAATGGCGCGAGGTAAGACATTCGCCCGAGCTGACCCGGTGGGCTATGCTCCGACAGCCTATCTTTGTTTCATGGTTATGCATTTTGCTCCGCCAAAGCACAGAAAATGCCATGGCGGGATACCAGCAAACACCGCCGGTGGCTCACGCGAACAAAGCCTCTGGTATCAATCACTAAAGGCATACAGTTCGACCGACAAAATTCCGAAGTGAGTTATGCACGTGAAAGCGACCGTAGCAATTTTAGTTCATCTGAAGGATTTTTAGTCGGTTTTGCTGAGCGCACAGAATCGATATCATCTTACCGACTAAACGGGAAGGCGAATATGGGAAGACCCCACTAGAGAGTGTCTAGACCATCAGTCAGTAATGAAGAATTTCATACACTGCTGGTGACATGAGATTTGCCTTGTACCTCTGCAGGTCGGGTCGAGGTCCCTCAGTCCTTTGTGACCCGGACAGGTGGTGTAGTCGGAGAAACACGGTCGCAACAGACTGTGCCATGAAACGGAGCTAGTCGGAGGCATAGGTTCATGAAGCATACTGCTATACTGTTTCTCACGTAAGACGAGATGCCAGTGGACATCTACAGACGCTAGCGACCACACTTGAGTTGCAGTGTTGATGACAATCAGCTCGACATACAATCGCCGGTATCTTTGGGGTCAACCCCCTCAGCATTCGGCGCTAGAGCGGGGCTCAGTTCCAATCGCCGACCAATTTGCTTCATTGCTTCAGGGTCCAACACCATCTCTTTAAGTCCATAGGAAGCATGAATGGGATCATACGTAGAGTAGCAAACGGACGAGAACCCTCTGACATCCTTTGGTGGAGACCCACTCCGTCGCCAACCGGGAACCATTCTCAATCACCCCACAATTTGACTTTCCATCCGTGACGTATCTCAAATCTGTCAGAACTTTCCGCCATCACGAAAAAAGGTAGACGTCCTCCCATACAATGGCCGACACACATAATCCCCCTGTTCAAGGCCGCCTCATCAGCCATTTTGCTGAACAGTACGCGCACAATTCCCGCTTGCAATGAAGACCCGACTCGAACCTATCTAACTCACACCAGGCCAGCGGAAGACCAAGGCGCAGGCTGGTCCGCACTCTGGGACTCCAATGAAAGCGATCTCTGGGATAGAGGGAGTCCCTCAATTGCATTAGTCGATGTAGTAGAGCGGCAGAAAGATGTGTTCTCTTCCTTTACCCCTGATAGACGGAGAAAGAGAGCCCTTGTTCCGGTATCACCCCTCTTTCCACGAGCCAATACACCCACCGGATATTCGCGGGGCTACTGCGAAACATGTACTTCTGAATGACTAACTTCTTATAATTTACTCACAGGGCTGCGGAAGAGGCTACGACCCCGTCATGCTGGCACTGCATGGCTTTGACGTCTACGGCCTCGATATATCCGCAACTGGCGTTTCAGAAGCGAGGAAGTATGCCGCTTCGGAGATGCAGAGTCCACAGGGATATAATTTCTCCTCTGGAACACCGACTACAGCCGATATAGGGAATGTAAAATTCATTGCCGGCGACTTCTTCAGCTCGGAGTGGGAGAGTGAAGCTCTGCGTAATGGTGAGAAGTTTGACTTGGTCTATGATTATACTGTATGCCATCGTCCTTACTGCATGCTGCAAAGCAGTACGGGACAAAGAGCAATATAGCTTACGCAAGTAACAGTTTCTATGCGCTCTCCACCCCTCCCTCCGTCAGAAATGGGCCGAGCGTATGAGCCACCTTCTCAGTCCGCGAGGCCTTCTTGTCTGTCTTGAATTTCCCATGTACAAGGACCCTTCCTTGCCAGGACCACCGTGGGGACTGAAGGGCGCTCACTGGGATCTTCTCGCACGCGGCGGCGACGGGATCTCTAATATTGCTGAAGAGGAAGAGGACGACGCAAAAGCTGCTAAGTTGACAGGACAGTTCCGGCGAACACAGTACCTTAAGCCTACGCGGTCATATCCGAGCGGTAAGGGGACGGATATGCTGAGTATTTATGTGAGAAAGTAATCGGTAAGATGCGCAAACCTCCAATTATATCGGCCAGTACTCAGACAACGGCATTAAACCTGCTCTGAGTTTTAGCGTCGTGCCTGACGAGCGCTTCATTTTCAATGATTATCCTGCCCGCTCGGCCGCAGGGAAGGTTGCACATCGCCCTACAATTACCTCCAATTGTGTCAACGAATATGCGTCTCTGATCACCTACCTCGTGAACAATTCGGCTGCTGGTCCGGACCCGGCTGCCGTATTGGAGGGTGATTTGACCGACTGAATTTGCCCCACGGCTAACTCGACGCTTCTCCGCAACCAGCAGAACATTCCGGTGTACCGCTGCCAGAATGCCGGACGGTACCCCAGTCTGAACCCATTGCGATGGCTTGGCGCTTACCAAGCGAGTGATTTACCAATTAACTTTGGCTCCTATCCTATCCATGAGTACCTGGGGAATAGCACCAGAAGTCAGTCGAACTATGCAAGATCACATCTCCGCTTTTCTGTAGGATCCGCTGAACGGACCGCAGTTGCTCGGATGGGAGCCTGTTAATTCCTCGATTGCCTCTGGTGGCAAGGTGCTTCGCTTCGGGGCTGATGGCAAGGCGGTTCAGCAGGTGGATCTTGTTGAGATTGACGGACCGTGCCGCGGCATTGGGAAATACGACGAGTTCCCATAAGTGTCAGTATATGAGCGAGGGGCAAATACATGTAGGATATCGTGTGATGATACGAGAAACCTGGAGACTGGTTGGAACTCCGTGATGTTGTCTCTGGTCAAGGAAAAAAAGAAAAGTGAAAAGAAATAGTTCGATGAAGTATTCACTTCAACCAGGCACTACCTGATTATTCGCCATCTCTGCTGTCTACGTGGTCTTACGTCTGACCAACCATAATCTTGAGATCTACATAGATCACATACACATACTCAGACCCCGTTCGTGCCTGTTGTTTTGAGTTATTCCTCTGGTTATTCCCACTACTAAACAGCCAATCCAGCAATAGCGTCAGTGTAGAACTTATGCTCGGTCGTCCTTCCGGTCTCCGTACAGACTGGCTGTTGCTGTAGGGTGAGGTGGCTGAAGGGACTTTGAATGACAAACTTGTGGTAAGCCGAAAGGTTAATTCCAGCTACACTTCAATGACATTCATCTTTACATTTGAAGCTTCTTGTCTCCCCATAATAGCGGAGTCCTAGTCAACCACACTACTGGGTTCTATGTAAAACTCTGCATGCTTTCTGGCCAATGGGAATCCATTACTTACTCTATCAACTGCATGGAATCCTGTGTAACCTCCCAATTCAGCTGTCTACCCGGCTGGAAGGGCAAGTGTCACGAGGCGGCCACCCATACACAAGTGACTTATTCAGTCACCGGCGACCTTTCTGGGGCCACACCGCTATTAGCAAGAGATCTACATACGCCAACCTCGACACATTAACTATTTGCGTTGATTGGCATGAATCGTTGAAAAGGGTATTGCAACCGTGGCTAGACGACATGTCAAATTGTTCAGCTACACAGTCCACTAAGCACGACTCCTCCACGGGCGGGCTTCAAAATGCCCGCCCAGCCACACAATGGCATTATATACTACACGTTCGGATGCATCCGTCTTGCCGCTCACAGCAAATATGAACAGCTAACTACTACAGTTGATATAGTATATAGTCTATAGTAATGACTTGTCTAATCAGTCTCGGACATCATATGTTCATAAAGATCGGCAGACGCAGCACAGAGAGACTATGCGACTATATGCCCCGTGAGGGAAATATTATGCCAACCTTTGGATACGCAGCTAGCTAGATACACCACAGTCCCTCATGTTGCTTTTGTGGAGCTGAAAACTCGTCAGCCTGGGAGTGCCAGATCTCAACCTTTATTTTTCTATCGACCTGAGTCTGGTTAACTCCGTGTTACTTGATCTCGCTTACCTACGATCATTGCGATCTAGTGAACCTCAGAAGAGATCCACTCCACAATCAGTTTACGATACAGCTCAGAGTCTCTTGCGCGCATCGACCCGGCCACACTTTATAAAGCCACATAACTCCTTCCGTTGTCCGAGTATTTTGGCAGCGACCTTGACACAATCCACGCTGTTTCTTTGCCCCGCCTCCCGTGAAAGTGTTTATTAGTCCGAATTTGTCAATATGCATTTCAATGCATCACAATACCAGTCAGATAAAGGATGGACCGGTGTCATGTTAGTAGCGAGGTCTCTATTGGACCAACTCCTCACAACCGACCTTCCACCTCCATCAGACCCCATTCTTCCGATACTCGATACCAGTGAGCTACCAAGCCTGCAGGATAAAATCATGCCGGATGATAATCCTCGGGATCCGGTCTCTATCCTTAAACAAGCCATGACGCTCTTTGAATACCATGTACACCACACCCACCCACATTCCTTTGCTTATATACCAGCCTGCCCCACTCCCATTGCTCGTCTGGGAGATCTCCTCACTTCCGTTTGTAATGTAAATGTTGCCAACTGGGATTCGAGCTCTGGTCCGAGTGAGGTTGAAAAGGCCATGATCCACTGGCTTGGCTCCCAGTTGGGACTGCCTGATTCAGTCGGAGGGTGCTTTGTGTCGGGTGGGTCTATGGCAAACATGACAGCTATAGTTGCAGCCCGCGATGAGAAACTCCAGCCCTTGCAGCGAGCAAACGCCACTATCTACATGTCCGACCAGACACACCTCTCCGTGATGAAAGCCCTACATATTGCAGGCTTCATGGACTACCAGGTCCACAAGATTCCAACAGATGATAACTGTCGCATGGATATCGATATCCTACGACATGCCATCAATGCAGACCGCCTATTCGGACGCGTTCCTTTTCTCCTGGTCGCCAATTGCGGCAGCACCAACACCGGCAGCATTGATCCTCTCCATGAACTAGCCGATATCGCGCGTGACGAAGGCCTATGGCTTCATGTAGACGGTGCATATGGTGCATCCATCGCACTATCCGACAAGCATCGCCACCTGGTTGATGGCATCGGTCGCGCGGATAGCGTGTCCTGGGATGGCCACAAGTGGCTCTTCCAGACATACGGTTGCGGAATTGTGCTCACGCGGCACGTTAACTCTCTCGCACGCAGCTTCTCCTTCGATGCCGAATATATCACCCATCCATTGGGACCGCAGACCACGACAAGCTTTTACAAACTCAGTCCAGAGCTAAGTCGCCCTGCGCGTGCGATGTCTCTGTGGCTCACTATCAAGGTTCTAGGTCGTCGTCGTGTGGGTGAGATGATCGATCAGGGTTTTCTTCTTGCCCGTACAGCGGATCATGATATCCGGCAGTATAAGAATTGGATCATCCCGGTGTCAACAGTTGCTAGCATTGTGGTATTCCGATACGCACCGCCTGGGTTCAGTGAAGAGGAGCTAGACTCCTTGAACAGTGCTATTTCACAACGGCTTGTGACGGAGAACATAGCTGCTATACTGACAACCCAGATTTGCGGACAGATCACACTTCGACTGTGTGCTATTAATCCTGCTGTACAGCCGGAAACTATCAGTGATGTAATATCTCGGGTGAATGAGGTTGCCCAAGCTGAGGCTTATAAGGTCAAGAAGACATATTCAAGATTGTCTAATGGACTGTGTTCTCCTCTGCCGAGCTGCTGTGTTGTTGAAGCTTCTGACCATGCTTGAGCTACACCCCATCCGACATTTCGATGTGTATCTTACGTGCGTTTTTGTCGATGTCATTTCTCGTTTGATTCCCATGTATCTTATAGCGGGTTATTTAGACACTATTTAGAGTTAAGATGTTCTCAGGATACCGTCAATCCTACAATTTCCGAGCAAGTCAGTTGCTGAGAAGTAACTCCAATGTTGTAAGATTATATTCACATATTTCTTGACCAACACAATGTACCAACACATCTCCACGAAGACCATCCGTTGCACAGTCTTCATCTTTTCTATTTGAACGGCACAATACGTTGACCGAATGATATGGTATAGCTTCCTCTATGTATACTTTACTTCACAGTTTCCACTAATATCAGGTGACCAGTGGGTCTAATTACCACGTAGACGTAAACAATCACTAGGTGAGGATAGTTTCTTTTCCTATAGACTATCTCGAACACCCCAGACTGGCCAATAAAGAGCAACTGTTTAAGTAACTCCGAGCCCGACTCTAGCTGATGAAAATCCTTCCCGGAAATATCAAACCCCGCCAATGATAGTAGTAGTCAGTTATCGTATCTAAGAAAGTAAGCTGTAAGAAAGTAAGCTGCGATCCCGTGGTCAACCCGGAGAATTGTGGCTGACCTCCCGGTGAGGAAGAAGGTAAGGACTCCGGCTCAATGAGGATTCGGTATTGCAGCCTAACGTGGTCTTAGCAGAATCTGCCGTGGGCTTAGATTGAGGTCTTTATGGAGTTTTGAATTATCTTATACTAGAAGTTAATCATCCCGATCAGGCCGATTGTAAGCTCGGATATGATCTTGCGACCACACCACACTGAGCAGTAAGCCCATCGGGATCTGGTCGGGCGGATCCATCGGGGATCAGGGCTCAGGGCACAGTTTTTAGTGCCTCTACGGGTCAAGGGAAGCTTGCCCCAAAGCTTGGTTTGGTGGTGTGGGACGGGTAGGGCTTCTGGTTGGTTGGTAGTGCTGTGCCTAATCTTATTACTATTGACATTGAACACAAACGTGGCACATACTCAAGGTGTAGAATTAACCAGATAAGGCCACAAACAGAGCCTAAAAAGCACTTTTTGAAGGATAAATAGTGTGATGAGGGTACTTGGTTACTTATGTAGCTGGTAGAACTCACCGTACTGCGATCAAAATCAAAAGCAAAATCGCCACACTACAACCCAGAACCTAGTCTTATCACATACGATCGGATCCCCTCGGAATTGAATGGTCCCCGAGCTGACTCGCCCTGGAGCTTAGCGTCATTATCGCCGCGATCTCGCATCGTGATTTGAATTCGAGATCCCTAAGGCGCATCTTAGCTCCTTCACTAGTGTATACATGACATCATATGCATGGATTGCGCCACTAGTTTGGGATTAGGGATGTCTCAAAACAGAGGGCTGATGGCTGAGGGCTGAAAGGGCTGGGATAGGGTGGCGAATAAATGGCGCAAGCTTGTAGTGTTGAATAGAGGGGTCAATTTGCTTCTGCCGTTGGGGCTGAGGTGTTAAAGCGGGATGTTGCCTACCTTTCTGTTTCTCTTTCCTCTTGTCTCGTTTATGTGATCGTTACACTCGATTGGAATCTGGAAAATACATTCACATTATATCACCCTATCAACAGACTTCTTTGCTCAATAGAAATCATGGACTCCTTCGGTCAAGACAACTTTGGTGGTGGCCGTCGCGGTGGTGGTGACAGCTTCGGAGGCAATGACTCCGGATTTGGAGGCAACAACTCTGGCTTCGGCGGTAACGACTCCCAGTTCGGCGGAGGTGGCTCTGGATTTGGAGGCAATGATTCTGGCTTTGGGGGTGGTGGCCGCGGAGGTGACTCCGGCTTTGGAGGCAACGGCGGTGGTAACAGCTTCGGAGACAACTCTGGCTTTGGTGGTGGTAACAGTCGCGACAACAACAACAACTTTGGCGGTAACGACTCTCAATTTGGTGGGGGTGGCTCTGGGTTTGGAGGAAATGACTCTGGCTTTGGCGGGGGTCGCGGTGGAGGTGACTCTGGCTACGGAGGCAACGACTCCAGACATGGTGGAAACAATTCTGGATTCGGGGGTAACAGCTCTGGCAACTCTGGCTTCGGCGGCAATGACTCTGGATTTGGCGGAGGAAGAGACAACCAAGACAATTTCGGAGGGTCTGGTGGTGGAAATGACTCCTTCGGTGGCTCCTCTGGTGGCTCCTCTGGTGGGCTTGGGGGCTTGGTGAACAAGGCAGAAGGTTTGTTTCCCTATCAACCGCGACATGATTGACTGGAGTTGAAGACGTTGGCTGACAATAACTTTCCTTGTAGGCTTCCTCGGCAGCCACAGTGGAAACAACAACCAGGGTGGCTCTAACAACGGAGGACAGGGTGGTAACTCTGGAGGCAACTTTGTCGACTCGATGGTAGACCAGAAGGTTGACCAGTATGTCCCTAGTGGACTGGATGGTGCTGTTAACCAGGGAATTAACCAGGAGGTTAACAAGTTTCTCTAATGGACCTGCCTCATGAGTTATGGAATGGAAATAGCTCTGAGCATGATAACGCTGTTTGTTAGTACCTACATGATGTTTTAATGAAGACGTTGTAACAATGTCATGGACAATTATAAGAACGCGAATGACCGTGCATGTTCCGTAGTTTATGTACAATTAATTCTACAAGGGAAGACTCCTACAGCTTTCCTATCCCAGGATATACTATACACGATCAACTTCAACCTCACAGGTTGTAAGTGTGAGAGTTGATGTTGATGGTCGACACGGTCCAAGTCTTGCCATTATCCGAGGTCGAGAGTCCGGAGGAGCTGGCCTCGTTGATGGACAGGGTGTCGCCAAAGGAGTTATCCTCGGCGTTAAGGATGATGGTGGTATCAAGGTACTCTATTTTGATCTGTTAACTTTGTCTTTAATCTCCGGAAGATGGGTTGGGAACTTACTGTGAGCTCCCGCAGTGCTCTGGCACGCATCGTCCTGGCACTCAACTGCCGTGCCCCAGCCTTGGGCTTGTCCCGAGCCTGGTATTTGTCAGTATACAAGTGGGGCGTCAATATAGAAGAGTGAAAAACGCACTGGTCGAAAGAGTAGAGACGACCTCGCCGTTGATCGAGACGGTCTGGTCGTACTTGCCCGTGCTGTCGTTGTACTTGTCTTTAGGTAGACGGAGGTTAGTGTCTATCTTCGACAGCAGGAGCGTGCATAGTTGATAGAATCCTCACAGTGCATGGTCACCTTGTCGCCAGCAGAAGCCGGGACTTCCTTGCCACCCAATTGCGTGCCTACCACGTAGTTAGCTTGACTAATACTGATATGATAATTAAAGCTATATGATAACTCACCCTCAAGGGTACTAGCCCAGGTACACCACTGTCCAGAGCTGGCGCCACAGTTGCTGCAATGGGTTATCAGAATCATTCCGAGAAGTCGTACTATTAACCTATAATCTACTTACGAGTTGGGGTCGGAGAAAGAAACAGCGAGAGCCTGGATCAGATCACCACCGCTTGTACCCATACCGGGCCAAAGAGCAAGACGGTCCTTCTGAGGGCTAGGAGCCTCGGGTAGAACCAAGGTGGTGTTGGCCTCTCTAATCCACGACTGGGTAGGGCCCAGAGAGAAATAAGGGCCAAATCCGACCGTGCTCTGGCCGTGAGCGGCACCGATGGCGGCCAGGAAGGCAAGAGCTTCAATTCCACGCATTCTGATGAGACGGGTAATCCGTGATAGCGTATGACAATGGACTTTGACAGACGCGATAGGTGCTGATTATCTCTGTTTACAGACCGGATCTACGCTGGCTTTATAGGTAACGCATTGGACGGCAAGGAAACATGGCCGTGTTGTTTCAACAAAGGGGATGACTCCACTCCACGTTTAACATGCCAAATAAGAATGGCTAATTATTCCGGAATCGCGTGATGGTCTCGATCACTACTCTACAGACACTTTCGCGACAATTTCGGAGGAACTTCCGTTTCACGCCCTGTTCGGAGTCACCCCGTAGAGTAGTTTGCAGACCCTGAGGGTTCTAGCGTGGCCCTAGTGTCAATCCTCGACACTTGGAGGCCCACCAACGTTTCATGGCGGTCCCGGAACTGTCGATCTCTTCCCGGAGGGGGAGAGAGCAATATATCATGGTATATCATGGTATAGCGCAGTGAGCTGTTATTGCACGAATCGTAGGTACGTTAACAATCGGCATTCACTATGTCTCTGAATCATTTCTCCTTTTAGCTTGGACAGGTGTCTGCATGTTGTCTGGGAAATAGATTAAGCGGCGATGCAGCGCTTACATTCTGCTTATAGTCTCATCGCTAGACATTCTGGTCCCTCATAGCATCATTGCAAATGCGACAGATAAGATTAGATTTACAGAGTTCGGTATGAGGGTGCCAGAGGAGAAGGATGGAGGAAAGCCAGGACCAATCCAGGCAAGTCCCGAACCGTTTCCCCACAAGTACATGCGTTCCTGAACAGACAATCTTCTAACGTTCACATGATACAACAATTTTTTCAGGGTGATGGTCTACATGGAAAGTGACAGTCTATTCGTTCATCTCATAAGTTCCAATCTGACTCAGCCTCAGGAAAAGAATGGTCCCCGCTACAGATATTACCTCACTATCAAGCTTAGGGGTACATGAATTTTACAACTGCAGGTAGTGGCCATGGTACTTCGGTTCCTCATAGGCAAGCGGACTGATAGGTTCATCGGACCGTTCCGGGAATCCGTCGAAGGATTTGGCGTAAGTCGCAATGGAGTGGGCAACGAGCTATTTTGTGAATCACATCAGTCAGCAAAGGAATGATTCGCATAATGGCAACTACTATAGTTTGCGATCCTACCTTGGTGTTCCATTCCCACGCGGTCAAGTTCACATTGGCCACCGTGTCGCAGAGCTGGTGGTAACACGGGTCATACCATTCGCCAGCAACGCCGCCGAACATGTCCGCTTCCTCGGGCGTCTTAATTCCCTCTGCTCCTGTAGCAATCCCACCACCGGGAATACCATGCCGGATGAACGCATCATAGTCGCTGCGTCCATCGAACGGAATGTACGTGTAGTTGAACCCATGAGCATCGTAAAAGTCGGTGTAGAGATCACGAAGCTCTTCAGATCCCTCGGGGTTCACAGCGTTAGTGGCATTGTACACTTGGTACGCAAAGTTGGGCGAGCCGAGCATGTCGTAGTCCATGAACAAGCGGATCTTGCGGTTCTCTTCCGGGGTGAGAACGGACACATAGTAGTCAGATCCGAGAAGGCCTTCCTCCTCGGCGGCCCACCAAGCAAATCGCACACAATTGTTGACACGGAACTGGGTGAGCAATGTGGCAAGCTCCAAAAGGGTCAGGGTACCAGACCCATCGTCATTGATACCCGGGCCCTCGGCCACACTGTCACTGTGGCCACCCAGCATTACACAGTTGTCAGGGTCACCATCCGTGGTCTGCGCGATGATGTTGGTGGTGTGGATGGTCTCGACGATCGCATCCATGTAGGCGATAGCGTCGACCTTCTCGCCTTTCTTCAGCTTCTCCAGGACCGGGGCAGCATCCGCGTCGGAGATACCAAAGGTAGCAACATGATCGGGTGTTGGGTTTCCTAGAGTTCCGCTCAGGTCACCCCGCTCGTTGTTGTAGATGACAGCAGCGACGGCTCCCGCTTTACCAGCCAATTGAGACTTTGTCCCAAATGGACAGCTTCCCCGACTGATAAATGCAACGGCGCCTTCCAAGTTGGAAGGGTAGTCCGAGGCCTCACACCCGAGGTTAGATACACCAACCAGGGGGCCATATACCGGCTCCTTATTCTTCGTTGGGGGAGTGAGACCCATTGGTGTAGCCGACTTGGGAACATCGTGACCAAGGACAAGGCGAGACTCGAAGACATTACCGCTCACGGCAGGGAAGGACTGATTTACGACAGTATAATAATCACCGAGGTCGGTAAGGGCGGAGTAAATGTAGTCGAGCGTGCCAAGATGACCTAGGAACAAGGAATCGTCAACTGTTTGTGATCATTGCGAGAATATTGGAAGAGGTATGTGGTACCTTTGCTGCCGATGACGCGAGTGGGATGGTTATATTCGTCTTCTCCCAGCTCCGCAATCTTGTAAAGCTGCCGGGCCCTGTCCAATAGATTTTCCGCCTTGACCTGCTCCTGAAGCAGCGGAGAGCTAATTAGTGGCTTGTCACCTGCATTTGTCGTCGGCCACTGTGAATTGGATTCTTGGACTAGGGGTAATTGTAGAGCACCGACCTGGCCCAGGAGCACTGGGACCAGATGTAGCGCCGCCGAGTCGACACGCATGGTGGGTGGAACAAGGCAGTATGTATGAATGATATATGAAGAATGATATCAGATAGGCAGCTCGTCAAGTACGATGATAGAGCCCGACTAATGAAGGCTAGGGAGGAGGCGAGACAGGGAGAAGATCAAACAACAACAACAACAACAGCTTGGGGAAGGAGGAATAAATACGGGGAGCTGGGAAGAAGGGGAGCTTCCTGCCAGGAACCGGTCAGATGATAAGCGATAAGATAGACCCGTGACACCCACCTGACCTGCCTCATCGGGAAAGGCGTCATGATCGGCCCGATTGGGGTTAGTGCAGCCTCATTTTCCATCTTCTCGGCAACACCAGAAGTCACCACCATTCCGACAAGAGTGCTATGGTGAATTGATTCTTTTCCTTCGTACCACTGGCCATCAGTTGGCGAATTTCGTGGAGTCAATCGGAGTCGTTCCGTGGAATCCAACGGCAAGCACAGGGCGCCCTTCCTCTCCCGACCCGAGCGGGTCCTTTGGTCAGCGTCACTGGGGAGCTTTGGTTCATGGCTCTCAGCAAAACATTTGAATGTCTGTTCTGACCATGTACTTAAACGCATATAATCTTACATTTCCGACCGCCTCCGGTCTTGACTCAACAATGAGCTTCTAGAATGGATTAGAGGCCCGGCCCGTCTGCATGCTCCAGTCGATACTTCAGGTGATAGTCTAGCCTGGTGATTCTCATTCCAGGGCTGATCAAGCTATTGCTAGAGACGATGTCTGCGCAAGAATCTGATACCTGTTTCGCAAGTTATAGTTGCTGTGATACACGACTAGGCGGGCCCTTCTCAGTGTCACAGGCACTCCTTTAGCTAGAGGGAGAACAGAATTGCTGTGCTACGTCTGATTAGAGCCACTGCTATCGGTCGCCTATATCCGGATGCTAGTATTCGCTACAGTTGTCGGGTAGTGGAACGGCGCCAGTTCCATGGAAACTCCCAACGGACAATTACCACACATATTTTTGGGATGAGTTACGTCAGTACGGCCTCATTTAGGACCGACAAAGGTTGGTCGAAGTAGTAGCAGCCCCGTTCTAGATCTTGTGCCCTTGACTTTTCTGTCAGACAGGCTTTTTGCTGTCAACCGAAACTAAATCTCACGATCACCGCATGTAACTACTGCTACACGGTCAAAGAGATCATGATGTCATTCGGGTCAGGATACGCTAAGATCTGAATTTGTTCTTTCTTCAAAGCAATCTTCCCAAAACCAACTTCTTGCTTTACAGGGCATTGGCTCTGGATTGCTCTGCGAAATGCCCAATCATGAAGCCCATGACACTGCAGTACCAACATCGCCAATCTACATCGCAATATGGAACTTTTCCTCCCAATGGTTTCTGATACCACAAGGTACTGGCGTAATAGCCATTGTTCTTCATCAACTGGACTATCAATTCCATGGTCTGCGTATCATCTCTGTGATAGTTTGGGTGTATACAATCGTGCTCCTGGCACTATGCGTATCCGTCTACCTTGCGCGAATTTTCATGCATCCACGGCACGTCGCACGAGCACTCCGGGCAAGCATGGTGGAGGTATCATGTCTCACTAGCGTCTCTATAACGTTCACAACTATCATTCAAATGATCGCCTTGGCCGTTGCCCAGCAATGGGGTGCAGGATGGCCAATGGCCTCATACGTTCTGTGGTGGATCAACACGGCTATGGCTCTAACTGCTGTTATGGGAATACCGTACATTTACGTGAAGCTACAAGCTCCCGGCATCAAGGCTGTCGTACCTTCCGTTCTACTTCCATTGATATGTGCGCTGACCTCTGCCGCTGGCGGAGGTGTCGTATGTGAGTATAGTGGAATTGGCGCTCGGCTGCAAGTCCCGACCATCATTGTAGCATACCTTGAAGTCGGTGTCGGTATACCGTTGGCAATGTCCTTTGCTGATGTCTTCATTGCGCGTCTCTTCGAGCGCGAATTTATGCCCATGGAACAGGTCTATCAAGATATGATCCTCTGTGGCCCGTTTGGACAGGGCAGCTTTGCGCTGCTGATTCTCGGGCAGGTCGTACGGTCTGGGGCATTTGCGGAGTACAATCGGGGGTCATTCTTGACCGCTGAAGCAGCGACTCCAATTGGTTATGCCAGCCAATTCGCGGGTTTGTTGTCTTGGGGCTACGGAACCTTCTGGTGGGGCTACGCCATCATAAGCATTCTGCATACGGCTATCAAGCAACCAGGGGGTTGGCGGAGAATACAATATTCACTTTCGGCATGGTCTCTGGTATTTCCGTGGGTGAGTGCACATTTACCTGCAAGACTCATCAGTATCTTACATTATGTTGTAGGGTGTCTACACCAATGCCGCCGTCCAGCTTGGCAAAGTCATGGACTCGCCTGCATTTAAGGTGTGGTCGACCGCTTTGACCCTCATGCTCCTCATCATATGGATTGTGAATCACATCTTTACCATTAAGGGCTTGATTACGGGGCAAATCTTGTCACTTCAGCACGGATGGCGGGCCGGCCACTATCAAGCCGGAGAAGTCGATAAGCAGGTCTGATCTTGGTCAAATACTACGGCCACGTGAAAACTCTCGGCAGTTTTCCAGAATTAAGGGAGTCCCGTGTCTTATATAACCGATAAATGATAGATCACCAATCTGCCCATCAAAGCCTCAATTTACACGGGATTCAATCAAACTTATCATTAGCAGCCTCAAACGCATCAGCCTCATCCTGACCCGAGACGCCTCTACTCATCCTCGCACCATCCGTGAACGCCCACTGGTCAGTGACTGGCTGACCGTACTCATCGACGGTGGTCTCAAAAAATTCCTCCGGACCCCAGTTGGAGGTTGGATCAGCTGCCAGGGATGCCGCAGTGGCTGACTCCGATGAGAATTGCTGCCTCTGAGCGGCTCTTTGATCCTGGGTGGTGTTGCGAAGACGACGGCTTTGCTCTTCGTTCTGGGGGTATCGGAATGCAGTGTCTGTCCTGGTGTGCGGCATTTTGATGGTTGTTGCTGTAGATGTTAGATATGCATAGATTGAGGAAGTGTTGAGACTCACTTTCACGTCGAATGTTTTATGTATATTGGGATATATAACTCAATTCATCTTCCCATGGTTGTAGATGTCTTCCTCAAGCACAGCGCCCAACATCCCGATCTATATAATGTTCCCTTACCACTAACTGTCCGTAAATGACGTTCAATTTCCCAAAAATGCCACCAAACTCATGACGCATCTCTCATCGCCACCATCACCATTCTCTTCAAAGCCAACATCATGAAACCTTTTGCCTGCCCCTGGTTATCCAGAACTGTGTCTTCGAGATGTGGATAAAGTGGGTCACAAGCTGCCCGCAGCGTGGCTCTCTCGATCTGAGTGCTCAAGCTTCACTACAATAGCATTATCCCGCAGTTTTGGGTTCGAGCTGAAGTCGAATTTTCATCATAATCACTGGGATGCGTAAAGAAGGTGATATCACGGTGAGATACAGAACGTTCTAAGTGATGTGGCAGAATGTCATGACTAGATCAGGATTCAATGTGCCCATTTCTGCCTGAGGCTGTAATGTGCTTTCTGCCACCGCCTTTTTATACAGATTCCAAGCTCCTTTTTCTGGGACTGTATGTTTCCAAAATCCGCTAAATCCGAGGTTTTTTGATCGAGGTTCGCTATGTTCTGCCGCTTCTGGCGGTCAGAGAAGCGGTGTACAGGCATTGAGGCCGTACTGATTCTGCTGTCGATAGTGTACTGCTACCGCTCCTCGTGGGAGATTTGGGAACTATCTTGAGTATGAATTTGCTTATATTCTTGGTTTTCTAGGAGAATTCGACTGGTCTGTGACGAAATTGAACGTCTGAATACTGTTTGTAATTGCGAGGCGAGGTTTATTTATGTTTGTGAGGACTTGCACTGAGACCTTTATGCAAGTCCTATCCGGCTGTGTTGCTTTTACTGCTTAATTGATATTTCGGGGTGGAAGTCGCGAATCTATCTTGGATGACTGTCGACAAATTACACTAGCATCTTCTTAGGCTGGACCCGGGTGTTATCACAAAGTCTGAGGGTTCATGAACCATTCTGTATATTCAAGAAGTACAAGGTACTAGTCCGAAAGCTAAGATATACAGGATATCAAATTAAAGAATGAAATTAGAAAATATATGGCAAATTCTTGGATGCATAAAGAGAACATAAGGGCCGGAAGAAGTCATAGCAGGCCGTTAAGTCATACCATCATACCATATTATACTACCAGGCAGACACATGCTCAAGTACCATCTCACTTGCTGCCGAATCCAGGGATCGCGCTTCCCCAACTCTTTGCTCCGCTAGCAACAGAGGACCCGGCTGACTGTATTCCAGTAGATAGCCCCTGGCCAGCCTTCTTGGAGTTATCGACAATGGGATCGGTTGCTCCTCCAAGAGGGCCTCCATAAGAGCCATTTTCATCTTTTCCTCCACGCTCGGCGCGATTGAACCCCTCCTTTGAAACCATGTTACCAACTGGGGCCAGCAGACCGTTTTCACCCAACTGGTTTCCAACAAGGTTATTCACGTCGTCTTGGATCTGATCGACTTGCTTAACGCCGGTGACCTTGGTCTTGGAGAGGTTATCTGATTGCAATAGTTAGCATACGCATGGGCGGCCAATATCAAGGAATCTATCGTACCCTTGGTCACGTAGGAAGCCTTGTTGTCACCTTTGCCGAACCACTTAAGATATTGATCCTCCAGCCAAGGCATCCACTTCTCGTATTGCTCGTTGTAGGCTTCTTTCACCCACTCCGTGAATGACTGCTTATCGCGTTGTTCGGCAGGAAGGTTGTCATATAGCTTGCGCTGTTCTTCTTCGGTGTGGTTGCGCGTCGTACCCATGGTTGGCTTGATAGAGTCCATTTTGATAGTTTTAGGAGGTACTGTTCAACTCAGGATAAAAGAAGTATGTTCCAGAGAAGTCACGGTTGATGGAGAATGGTTCCGAGCATTGTGCCCATCGATGCTCCGCTCAAAGTATATATGTGTGGTGAGGTGGTCTGGATGAGGGACGGCATGACGTATGTGGTTTCGTCAAGCGCAAATGCATCGCAGTGTATATACACAGTAGATATCAGGTTCTGGCATATATATTGCAGACGTGGTTCCTCCATCTGTGGCTGTGATCAAATGACAGATGGCGAGGGACGCGTCGAGGGGAGCTGGGATGACGTCATGGGAGATTTGCGTTTGCCGTCCTCTGGATGTGCATAAGTACGTCACAGCTGAGATAAGTAAGAATATGTCACCTGACTTATTTATTTAATGCGAATTCCTATTTTTCCACCAATCGGTTATAATAAAGGCCCCATGAGACGCGACTTGGCCAGAAGAGGAAATAGTATGTGCGGTTGGCCAGAACAACAGACACCCTGCATCAAGATCTCTGGGTCGTCATAAATGTTGACCGGTGGTCTGTCGCCATCCGCCCTTGACCTCCGTACCGGAGCAGGCTATTTGTCCATTACTAGTACGAGTAGTACTACTTAGTAGTAGTATACTTAAGTTCTCCAAAATAGACACCAGATCGACGAGCGCTTGTAGTACCCACATGTTGAATAGACAATAGACGCCAAAATGTAGCAAATGAAGATGAGTAGACAGTCCCTATTGTCATACATGACTCCTTATTGTACTTACACAAGTACTGTATTGGGAAGGACCAATTCACTCTATTGGTGTAAGAGCACGTCGCATTGGCCTGGATTCTCGCTGAATGACTTCAATTAGGTGGCCTCAGATCATCTACACTGGATCATAACGTTCAACCATTACTTCGCCCCAGCATACTTGATCTACAATGGGTTACACTCCATTATATTTCCATATAATCGTTCACTGTTCTCATAAAATCGCTAACACATCTAAACAATTACAGTTCATCACGCCATCTCATCATGCGTCGACACAACCCCCTTCTCCTGGTCAACCATGTCCTTGTGCTTGTGTCGCTCGATTTCTTCGCCGAAGCGGTCATGAATCTGGTGTGTCTTCCAGGGCTTCATATCGGTCTCAAACATCAAGTCAATGTCTTCAAGCGACCGTCGAGCAGTCTCTGGGTAGAAGAAGAAGACATGGAACGTCATCACAGTGCAGAATACACCGAAGATGATATAGGTCTTCCACTGAATGTTGGTGAAAGCAGGTGCCACAAAGTACGCCAGCGCGAAGTTGAAGATCCAGTTACCGGCAGCCGAGAGACCGACACCCTTTGCACGGTACTTGAGAGGGAATACTTCAGAAGCGTAGATCCACGCCACGGGGGCCTATATCAGGTCACATTAGCCGAAGCTGACTTTGGATGGTCTCGGGTGACTGGACAACAACATACCCAGGTGAAACCATAAACAGCAACGAAGATGTATGAGCAAGCAATGACACCTTTGCCGGGCGGTCCTGTAATCGACCACTTCAGGTTCGCATTACCATCGACAGAGTCAACATGATGACCACGTGAAGCCATTAGACCAGCAATAGCGAAGTGGCAGGCCATGCACAGGACGGATCCAGTGAGAAGCAAAAGTCGTCGACCGATGCGATCAACAAATGGCAGGATAGTACCTGTTGTAACCAAGAAGATTACGTACTGAATGGCTGACGAGTACAGAGTCGTGTTTCCAGACTAAACAAAGCTGTCAGTTCGGGTTCAAGGGCATCTGCCTGAAGTACAAGGCAGACTTACCATGCCAGCCATGTTGAAGATATACACGACATAATACATCGCAACATTGCCTCCGAGCAACTGCTGCCAGACCTGAGCGCTGACACCGCAAACGGTACGTTTCCAAATCTTTGGTCCGAACAGGGAAAGGAATGAAACATCCTTAGCCTCCTGGGCAATGCGTGCTGCTTCCTGCACTTCTTCGTATTCCACTTGGACCACGGGATCGTTGCGGCCGCCCTTGGCATGCAGTAGAGCCAAAGTATCCAAAGCCTCCTCCCACCGCTCTTTACTGGCCAGCCAACGGGGCGATTCAGGGAAGAAGGGCAATGCGGCAAGGAGGATGAGTGCTGGGATACCCTGAACACCCCACGAAACTCGGAAAGAAGCTGCCCCAGCGAGACCTTTGCCACATCCGTACGAGATCAAATACATGATGAGCATGCCCCATTCAATGGCCCATTGCTGGATACCGACGATACGGCCACGGATACGAGCGGGTGCTAGTTCGGCGAGATAAACGCAAACTTGCGAGGATGTAATACCGACTAGAGTATAGTTTAGCATATCGTAAGCCCACAACGATAGCTGAAACCCGTACCGGACAAACCGCTGACCACTCTCCCAGCAACCAGGTGAGCGACGTTTTGGGCACTACACTGAACGGCAGCACCGATGACCCAGATGCAACACGCCAGCATGAGGGAGTAGCGACGACCAATTCGGTCTGATATGAAGCCGGCAGCGAGAGCACCGGCAAAAGAGCCAGCAGACATGGAAGCGGTGATCTAGGAAAGATCCGGTTAATCATCAGTCATTTGTATCCATTTTAAAGCTTTGAAGGGCTTGGTTACTTACACCACCCTGCAAGTCGGAATCAGGAGAGTTGAAATATTCCAGATACTGATCCGTGCCAATCCAGGCACTCATGGAACTGACATCAAAGCCGAACAAGGCACCGCCGATGGTGCCGAAGCCAGCCAGCACTGCGTATCTCCGTTAGCTTGAGCAGGACGGTCACTGTTAGGAGTCCCGTCATACCGTAAATATTGGAAATGGTATACATGATGTCCAACGGTCTCACCGAGCTGTTCACGACGAGTGGACTGCAACCGGGCGAGAATGCGGAGAAGCAACCCGGGACCCGGGCCACATTTATAGAGAGGACACTTAGGAAGTAGCTGCCGAAGCTGCATCGCGCCGGTACGGCTTCAACGGCATGGCGTCACGGACGGACTCGCGGTGCAGTGGGTGGTGCGAGACACGCATGGCCGATAAACCCCGAAAAGAGGAAGGATCGCCGGGGCCTATAATGCGGAGGTCCGGGGATTCAGGATGGAGCACGAATCAGAGGATCCGGGGACGGATGGGGGTCTGCCTCCCGAGTGGAGGGCCTCACGGCCCCGGATCCAGTCGGTTGATTCTGCGACGGAGATTTTCCCTCTTTGTGCCTGCCGTCCGGCTGAATGCCATTTTAACCGAGTTCGGGTTAATTGACCCTGCCCTGGGAACTCAAGGGCCCATTTCTGGAGTTCCCATGCGGAGTAACTATTATCACCCATGACCTACCTCTCCAGGAGGCCTAGTACTCAACTACTAGCTCTCGTCATTGCATCCTGTCTGTCTCGGTAAGGCTTCGCTTGAGACTGATTGCATGTGCACCCGACAGCCCACACCTCGTCATCCATGGCTTCTCCAGACATTGCCGAAAAGGAAGGCTGAACAACTTTGACACATAGTGTACTAAACCATCAAAACGGAGCTCGGTTCTCCGGTCATGTCCAATCAAAGAAGTGCAACGTGATGCTTGCTAGCAACCCAAACACACGTGTATATCTCATGGCCCCAACTTTGACATTCTCTATCGTTCACTCCCCCGTCATCATTCTCACCTATTACCCTACATTAGGCCACCCCCAACTGGGGAGCTCTAGAAGTTGTATAGCACGCTCTGCAGAACACGAGTTTTAGACATTATCAAAGTGGCTGCCTGGGTGTGGCTGCACTAACCGATTAGCCCAGTCCATGGCTTCGGATACTTCGCACTTATGACCTATGATCACCTGGGAGGCGCTCCATGGCCAATGGGAAATATCCTCGCGCAGTCACTGTTTGGTCATAGCTCCTGACTGCATTGGATATAAAAATCCATGAGTCAGCGGAATAACAATGCAGTTTCCCGACACGAATTCAAGCATGGGCGCCATGCGACGTAGGAAGAATAAACCAGAAAGCACCACCGGGTGAAAAGAAATGGTGGTAAAACCGAGCACATGGACAGTCTGGACGGCTCCTCTCATGGAAGTATCTATCCGTGGAAACCTAAGTGGTTTTGAAACCCCCCGAAGCTTGCTAGGGGGTATATACTGCTTCAGCTCCCAGGTTTCCAGACTATCTGAGAGAGGTAGCTGGACTTGTAAAAAGGACTACTGTATCTTTAAGAGACTTCCGAATCCTGTCGTAACCTCCAGCAGACAGTGATAATCAGCCTACAGACTAGGGTGATGCTCTTGTGGGTATCATTGCACCTCAAATTCTTGGCCTACCCCTTGTATTCATCTCTAAGTGGAGCTTGGAAAGTGTCTGCGTGCGTCTACTGCTCATGCGACAAATAGGGAAACGTGAGATGGAACCAGATGATCCCAACTGCCCCCTACTCTATGGTAAATAGAGCTCCTGCGCATCGGGGAGTAATGCCGCCGTTATGGAACTAGGGACAATCCATATGTGCTATGAGCTTTGCATTTTAGACGGGCGCTCGCACATGCAGGCAATTATGTTGCTGGAAGTGTTTGCTAGAGACGTTGCGACATGTTTTTTACTATCCAACTCAGCAGTCTTACAAATTTCATTAGAAGTGCAATTCATTTACTAACTGGGATTTCAATCGGCAGTGGCGAGTCGCTTATATGCCTAAATTGCGATCCTTCCCTGTACTAGTGGTTCTTCGCCCCGAAAATCATTGGCCGTGCAGACCTCCGGGGACTCAAAATGCCCCAGATAGTCACTGGGACGGTCTACAGCTATTGAGCATCCCAATATAATTAACTTGTGCGATACAATTCCCTCTCCAACAGCTGATGTTATGGCACACTCTCCAGTAGCCTAATCGATGCAGTATACACTGCATGACGACATTTGTACAAGGAATGCTTCCGATCGCTTATAAAGCAGCTCTCCACTTGCTCCATGTCCCGGAGCATGATCTGAGCGCCAACATCACCGGTGGGGAATGTGGAAGACGGAGACCCTGGTTCCCATTAAGGAGTGGTCTAATGACTCACCACCGCTTATGAAGCTCCGGCCAAGTGGCCCCCTTCGCGGAATTGATGCGTGCATTTGGGAGTCTACGCTCATCGTGAATCTGGCTCTAAAGATTACATGAACAGTCCGGTACTCATTCTGCTTTCTCGTCCAAGACAAGAATCTCCTGCCTCTTTCATGTTG